TAATTTTTTTTTTTATAAACCCATGCCTATGTAAATTTCTAAGGAATATATTACTAACAAATTTTTTCTGGACAAGCTTTCACCTACGAGTTTATATGAAAATAAACTATTTACTTGTTATACATTAGGTTTTTCTACCTTATATTCTTTATAGCCCTCAAATCGACTTTCTGGTCCGAATAAACTATATTTATTTAGTTTTTATGAAAACGCATTCTTTAATTAATAAATTTAGTAAAATATACATTGTCATGCCTTAATGTACATAAATAATCGGCATTTCATTTTGAAAAAAAAAAAAAAAATTAGCTTCCTTTGATCGCCCAGTAGCTTCATAGCCAATCTGAATCAGTACTTCGAAAAAAAGATTAAGAAGATTTTTCAGCTTTTTAAAGCTTTAACTTAAATCGTACATTCAAAAAAAAAAAAATTACAAATCATAACAGTTTTAAAAATCGAAGTTATTATGAAAAATCTTATTGTCTTAATTACCTGACGAATATAGTAACTAAGAAGATGAAGGTCATGTTAAAATAATAATAGTTATGAAAGGTCTAGCTGTTTGGGGAAGAATGCGAATTTTGAATATATTTAAAAGAAATCGTTTTATTTTTAATTTCCAACTGAATATTACCCATTAGGTCCAATTTAATATTTAATATTTGTTTGGATGCCTTTTTAAAGAGTCTTATCTCTTATAAACTATAGTGTAACATTTTTAAGTTAGGAATAAAGTAAGTTTCAATGAGTGTTCTACATTTCGAGATCAAAAAAATCGCTTTTTATTATTCTTGCATATTCGTATAGATACATATTTCACGATTATGCTTTAAAAATTTTGAATAGATATCTATTAAATTACGAAAACTAACGACCGTTTAGTTGACCGATGACAAGCGCGCTGGCCCGGCACGGTCTGGCGTCAACGCATCTTTCTCAAAATCACGTTTTTTGAGTTAGTGAAATTCTCACAAGGCTCAAAAATTGAGAATCGCGATGGAATTTTTTACACGTGTTCATCTTTTTTTGYATTATCATATTTCCATTTTACGATTCAATTTACGATTTCACGATTGCTGGAATATATGTATACAAATTAAAATATGTTTCGTATACGTTTCAGATTTTGTCTACGGGCGCTGCGACTTTCACTATGAGAACGAGTTCCTTCCTCTTTTTATTAATATCACTAAAAAAAATAATTGTCAGGCTTCAATAAACTGGCAACAACAACAATTTTCAAATAACTGTGCGTAAATTTTATTTTTCTACTTATTATACCTACCGAGAAAAATAAAAATTCAAAAAATCAGCTGTTTTCGGGTTAAAGTAGAAATCCCTTCAATTTATAATTAAAATATCTGTACTCTGCTGCTCCACTTTTTCGACATTAATTTCAATTATTAAACTGCAAAAATAATTTTTACTGAAAATTCTTGTGAACGCTTGCAATTTTTGTAAGAGAGAACTTTTGGCTACAAGAACTCCATCACGCGAATGGTTCAAAAAGTTGTTATTTTATCAGGAGCATCAATATATGGTCGGGAAGAATGCATAAATATTGTGTAAAAGTTATTAACATCACTGTAGATTTATTTTATGCATACAACTTTAACAAGTGGGCTGCCAGTGTATCGCCGTTAATCACGACAAAAACGTACTGCCAGGTGCATAGCAAGAAAATATGTGTTGCGCTTTGTCCTAGCCTGTAGCACCGGCTTGAACATGGGAGTAGTTTTCTTTCATCACTGGTGATACAATATTTCTAAGTCCAAAAAAATTTGGCTGTTCAAATCTACAACTTTTAGTTATAAATATACAGAGAACTAATTTGAGCTCTTCAGTACTTCAGTCTTACCGAAAACTATCTGAACCGTTAAGTTCCATAAAAACAAGCAAATCAGAATTAGTTTTTAGTTAGTTATTACTATTTTTTTAATTCGCTTTTATTAGCTTCACTTGTATGTATGTATGTATATATGTGTGTATGTATGTTTGTAACTTTTTTAATTAATATTCAGCACCCAGCACCCTATATAAAAAAGTTCATCGAAATGTGATAATACATATTATTAGTTAATAAATTGCGTGCTTGCCAGCAGTTTTCGACTTTTAGTGATGGTCAATAAATTTTTAATAGTTTTCTTTTGTAATATGTAAGTAATTAAACATTTTGTGGCTAATTATATCTTTTAATTTTTAATTTTCAATTTTTTTAAAACAAAATTTGAATGCTTAACTGTTAGCTTTTGTACATATTACTTAAAAATTTCTTTTTCTCTTTGATTCAGGCTATAATTGCGTAAGCGGTATCTACGCCAATATAGAAGATGGTTCAGGCATCTCTAAGGTTGCTATGAAAACTGAAAGAGTGCACATTCTTCGCACTGAACTTAACTTAGACGAACTTTGCTAGCTTGTGTATATATTTATCCTTTTTAAAGACAAAGTTTATAAAAAGTCGTTGTGCACTAACAGTCATTTACAACATCCGAAATTTATCTGTCGCGCAGCTAGTTGTGCCAAAGAAACAGACAGCTTTAAATTCGTAAAAAAAAACATTAAAATTCAAAATCCACAGATCGGCGCTTACAAAAGAAATTTAATCGGTCCAAACAACGAATTGTTGAGTATACTCTTGTACTGTTCAGTTTTTGTAATCGACGAATTAATTTTGAATTATACATATGTAGATAAAACTCTCAATGAACTTCTATCTCGGAATGAGATTTTAAGGGATTCCAACTACATGCTGCATATTCTTATTATATTGGAAACATCTTTTTCAAGCTCATTTAAAGAAATAAAAAAATGAGAATAAAATCTTCACCAAAGTCCGGACATTCTACGACAGTCGGATGAAATGGGTATTCGGAATGGACTTAAATTTATATTCACACAAGGCTGGCAGTGTTCAAAAACATTTTTGAAATCATTTTGGGAATGATTTTAGCTAATCTTCAATAATACAATTACTGCCGAATCAAGGATTTGGATATTATGGCTATAAGTGCTGAAGATTTTAAGTTTGTTTTTAATGAAAATTGGATATTTGTCTTAAATAAAACTTGCGCTTTCTCAGGGAGTTATCTTGCCAAGGCGGGCGCATCTCTTGTCTGAGGGGTCATCGCAAATAAGTCGGAACGGCCAAGTTTAGATGTTTTTTTTTTTTCAAAAATTTCAGATTATCTTTGTTAATAGTGCGTGTTTTTGAAATTTAAATAAAATACTTCATTTTTTTATGTGAGAAAAACTTTTGGAATAAGTATTTTTTACTTATTACTTTTTACCATCCTTAATACAGAAAATTTGATTAGAAAATTAAAAATATATTAAAATGAAAAAAAAAAAGTTTTAAACTCATTGCGTGTAACTACTTCTCGCCAGCATTTCCATGACAGAACCCTCGCTGTAGTAACCGCCACCGCCGCCGCCGCTGCTGCGCCTTGACAAGGCGTCTAGTATCAGCATATCGTGCTCCTGCGCAGTGCTGGGTTGCGCCAATGCATCACTGCCACGCATGTGTAAATTCAGAAAGAATAACAGTTCAAGCACTCGCAGCCAAGTATCCTTTTTGGCTGAGCGTTTTCGGCGCGCGAACTTTGACATTTTGCAAATTTGAAAATATTTGTTTGTATTTTATTTTTAACTTGTCTCAATTTTTAATTATTCAAACCAACACAAGCAGTATTATTTTTAAAATTTTTCTTCTTTTTTTTTAATTTTATTTTTTCTTAATTTTTTTTTTTGGTTTCTGATTTTTAAATCAAATTTATATGAACTCCTGCGCAGTGAGGACTTTCACTTTCTGTGCCGACACTTGAGCAGCAAAGCGAACTAAAACGTAATTTTATACACACCGCAGCAACAACAACGCGCACAACGAGAGCAAAAGTGGTGGCAATGACTACAAAAGCGGCAAGTGGCTATGTGGTGTGGCAACAACAACACTTGTATAATTACACTGAAACTTTCTTTTCACTATTTTTGGGAAATTTTTAATCTTCGGTTGAATTATTATTTTTTAATTTTTTTTTCGATTTTTGTTTTAAATATTTTTTCAGTGGTTTCAAAATTTTTGTGTATTTATTTAAACAACAAACTGTGAAAATTATCCTTTTTGCCTCACAAACACCTTTTTGTATATCTCATAATACACTAGGCTTTTATTAATTTTTTTTATGACAGTTTTTTGTATTCAAAATAATTAAAACAATTTTTATTTTCCATT